ATCAGCAGGAACAAAAAAAGTGTTATCATCTACTCAAGGCATCACACATAGAATTCTGAGTTCTTACATAGGCTCCATTGGCCTCAGAAGCTTCCCTTAATAAAAACAATTCTTCACATATATTCAAGAGTTAAGAGTTGTTGAAGAGGGTAAATTTACATGATCTCATTTGACCTTATGCTAACATAATGCCTCAGACAGGCCAGGCATCATTGGCCCATTTTTACTGATGAGGAAACTGAAGTACACAGGCGAGTCATCTGTCTGCTGTCAAACAGCTCACTGATGGAGAAGCTGGAACACAGCTATTGCTACCCCTCTCCAGTTGGGCATCCCTCATGATAGAAGCAAACAGAAACCCTGAGTCCTTCAGCTTCCTCGCTGTTATGCGGTAACAGACCTGAGCCTTCCCATCTCTCAGGCTTTCTTTCTCAGAACCTAGGGAACAACGGACTGGGTGCATTTCACACTGCGGAGAAGCAGGGCAGGAGAGGGAAAAGCAGGGGGAGCTGGGGCCAGAAGGGCTGACCTCCGGCCTGAGCTGTGGTCCTCATCTACACAGCAAGGCTAGGGAGCTGTCCTCCTGCCTCGAAGGGTACACAAGCACCACCTCCTGTGGGGAGCTGGGGAGGCACGAGGTTTGGGAGGGATCTGCACCTCTCTTCCACAGCCATCTTGGTCGTGTGGCTCCTTTCCTGCCTTGTACATATCTGAGCCCATCAAAGTGGTTCCCATGTGGCTTCTTCTTCACTAGGATCATTTTGGGCTGAATTATTAGCAAATCATTTCTGAGCATCTCACTTGAGCCAAGTCTTTAGCTACCTTCCTTTCAGATGTGAAAATTCATTTTCTCTGCATTTCTTGAAGCTTGCTTTTCTAAAGTATGATATATACATGTCTGATTTACCCCAATCAAAATTCTTATCGTACTTAGAATCTGTACAATTCAACTTAAGAATTATATAATCTTCTGTATTTACACTGTTTCGGATACTATCTTATCCCCTTAATTACAGTCATATGCAATTTCAGGGTAATGACCCTATTTTAGACATTTGTGGACCCACAGTACATGGCATTGTCCTAGACACAAAATGAGTATAAATGACAAACTGACAAGATTTTTATCTTGAACCCCTTGGGCTTTAATTACATCATAAGATCACAGAAACTTTCCCAAACTATTGGGAAAGACCCTAGACCCTGTCATATAGTCCAACTCCCCTACCAGGGCAGGAATTCCCTATTGATGGATCCAGCCTCTGCCTGAACACTTCCAGGGCTGGGGAGCTCACCCGTTTGCATACAGTACAGTAGGATGGCTCTCTCTCCCCACCTGCCCCCTTTTATGAAAAACGGACATTGTCAGATTCCATTGCAGAGAGACAGAGGGTGGGTCCTGCAAACTGTCCTCTGCCAACCCTGTGCCCACCCCACTGTCAACTGAAGTCTCAAGGTGCCTCTCCAAATCCTGCACAACCTGATCCAGCCCCCACTTACTTGATTTGAATCTTAAGCAAATTGTTACCTCATTAAGTCTCAGTTTATTCATCTGTAAATGGGGTAACAATTCCAACCTCACAGGCTGCTGTGAAGATTAAACAAGGCATGTAAACAGTCTGGCCCACAGCTGCTGTGGATGAGGGGCAGAGCAGATGGCAGCCTGCCTGGAATAAGGCATCATGGTTGAGAAGAACCTAGAGCACTGCTTTGAAGGGAGAAAAGGAGGAGCTCAGAGAAGAATAAAACAACATTTGGGAAGGGCCTTTGGACAGGAAAATGGAGTTTACAGCTGAACTGAAAAGCATAAATTTAAATCTTAGCAAAAGGGGGCAGGGTGGGGCAGGGGAAGGACCACCTAATTAAGTGCACAATCTGACATGGAAGGTAATGGGGAGTCACTCTGGGTTGATGAGAGGTGGAGTAACGGATCACACAGCAACAGGAAACAGGACTCAAAAAAGAGAATCCCTGCTGCTACACGAAGGTTAGACGGAAGCAAAAGAGCAGACCAGCAGGCGGAGCTGTTTCAGTGTGGAGGAAGAATCTTTGACATCTGGGATTTTGGAGTTCTACTATTTATTTTTATAGTTTTCTGTTTTGTCTCATTCTGGGCTATCAGCTTGCATATGTAGCTGCCATCAGTATTGCTGGTCTCTAGAACCCCTAAAGCCCATAAACTAGAATAGCTGTAATGGGCCAAAACCCAAATAACCAATCTTCATTCATCATTCATTCACTCACCTCTTCATTCATTCATGAATACCTCTATCCATGAAATAATCACAACAACCACTGTCTAGGCTCTAGAATAAGGCTTGGAAATGAGTAAGACATAGCCATTGCTTTTAAGGGGTTTATAGACTTCTGGGATCAACAGTTTCCCATAAACTCTTGCACTAGGCAGACTCTAAGTACCACAAAAGAAGAATGAACAAAATCCTATGCCAGGGGGTGAAAACTGGGAGCCAATCAGGCTATATTTGGCCAGCAAACGTTTTGTTTGGTCCATATGATATTTTATTTTGTATATATATATATATATATATATATATATATATATATATATATACCAGATCTTCTTTACCATTAGATATATATATATATATATATATTTTTTTTTTTTTTACAGATTAGGTGCCAACATTTAAAAATTAGGACATTTCACATAAAAACCCAGATCCCTGGTTTCTGGTGAAAACAGGACACTCTGAGCCACGCTGGGCCAAATTCCTGCAGGGTGGTAACTAGCAGAAGCAGAGCAGCTGCTGTCCCTTTCAGTCAGAGCATGCGCTCTCCAGTTTGCCACAGTCCTTGCCACTTCTTAGTATCTGACAGCAAAATCAAATGCTCAGCTGCTAGCTATCAGCAGCTTGTGCTATGAATACTTTTATAACAGTTAAGAGAAAAGTTAAAAAAAAATTTTTTTTTTTACTCAAATCTCTATTAAAAGTAGAAGCGAAAGATACAGTTGTAGGGCTATACGTTTCAAGAAGAGTGCAGTATAGAAAAGAAAAATACTCCTAGGGAAAACAAACAATTCCTTGTGTTCAAGATGCAAATAAACCTCTCCCATTTACGTTGCCTGCCTGATTCCTGCAGGCATTTGAGTTTGCAGCCTCTGTAACACCAGGAATAATTAATGCAGTGGCTAAGAGCATTGGTTCTGGAGTGAGGAAGAAAGCTGGCTCCACCACTTACTCACTGTGTGACCCTGGCAAATTATTTACCCACTCTGTGCTTCAGTCGCCTCATATGTAAAACAGAAATAAGTATAGTACCTACGTCAGGTACTGTTGTGAGGTGACAATGAGATAAAAGATATGAAGTTCTTAGCCAGTGCCTGGCACAAAGTAAGCATTAGCTATTACTGGTGCAGAGTACAAAGAGAGCGACCATCTCCAGAGAGGCTTAAGGACGTTTAGGATTCCACTGTGCGGAGATGAAGGCCTTACACAGAGAGGCCAAAGAAAAGGCAGAAAGGGAATGGCTCTGTTCCAGTAGCCAAAGCAGAGGCTTCACAATGAAGCTGAAAAGATCATGTAGGAAGTTTTGAAAGTCAGGCTGAGGAGAACTGCCCAATAAGTCAGTATGCCCCCAAATGTGTTGTTATATGATGGATTTGGGGGATAAAAATGGAATAGGACATTAAACAACGCTGAACCATAAAGTGAGAAAGTCATTCTCTTTCGATACTCTTTCAAACCTTCTAACAAAACATAGGAGAAAGTCTTGCTTTGATCCTATTCAACTCAAGCACCTCTCCAACCACACTTGCTAAATCTCTAGCTCTAGAGACACTACACCTGAGACTCACAGGTTCCCTAGCAACAGTATCTAGCTACAACTTGTTTACGCCGTTTTGTTTCTCCCTGCTTTAAGTTCTACAGTTATCTGACATTTACAGCTAATTGCTACTGGTTTTCATATACGGTGTAATAAAGTTTCCCTGTAGAATGTAAAAGCATGTTTAAAGGAAAATAAGTGGGACAATTTAGAGAAAAGGTTAAGTAAACAAGAGTATAGGTAATACGCGGATGTGGCATAAGTTGTGAAGCTGGAAAACACTGATGAGCCCAGGATGGATTCTGAGTAAAGGAACGACAAGATCAGACTGTGATTATGTGTACAGCTGCCTCCACAGGCCACTACCTCACGCGTGGTACATCCCCTTGCTCCCTCTCCAGGCCTCAGTTTCTCCATCCGCAAAGCGGTGGGAAGGCGACCCTGCAGTCGCCCAGAGCCGGGACTCAGGGCCCTCAGCCCAGCCCGCAGGCCCGTTACCCTTGGCAACCACCAGGGTTCACGCCACAGCGCCCGCCATCCCCGCTGGGGCTCAGCCTCCAGCTCCTCCCGGACTGCCCCGCTCCTCACCACTGCTCGGCTTTATCTCTCCACGTCAACACGGCCCTCATAGCGGTTTCCCTCACGCCTCGGGCCCCTCCTCCTCGCCTCAGCAACAGGCCTAACTCCTCGAGCCACTTTGTCTCCCTACGCTACCCCGGCAACGTACATGCGCAATGAGCTACGCGCGAGGCAGAGTTCCGAGTGCGCATGTCTACAAGGGAGGGCTAGAAAGAAGGCACAGGAGGCTAGAAGGCCTCCTCGTATCTAGGACGCGCGCGATTGGTCGGAACGGGCAGGGGGCGGTGCGCCTTCCTTGACAAAGGACTTGATTGGCTGAGCCGTGGAAATGGCGACTGTGGTCGAGCGGGGGGGCCGGAAAGAGGCTGAGCAGTCGGACAGACTTTCACTTCCTTCATGTTTTGGTTCCATCTTAGACCTCCGAGCTGAAGAAGTTTTCGCCTCTTACTCCGCTCCACACCCAGAGCGACGCACCCTATCGGCCTATTACTGCAGCTGGAGCCCGCTTGAGGGACACGTCTGGGATGGAGAGTCCGAGCCTGGGGGACTGCGGGGCTGCCCCCTCGGTCATCGCCAACCAGCGCCTAGTCCCCGACCGGCCGTGTGACCTCCGGCAAGTTATTGTCCCCTTCGGGCCTCAGTTTCACCACCTGTAAAATGGGAGCGGGGGAGTAGAAGGTGGGTGGGCCTTTCTTACCTAGGGTGGATGGACACTTGGAGGCCGGCAGGATTAGTTCCTGCGAACAAGGGCTGGAGTACTGAGTACTTGTGTATGTGCGGTGTGGGGCTAAGATGATTTACCTACTTTTTTTTCCCCAAAAAACATGTGATTCTCAGAACTACCGTGAAAGAGGTATTACCTCCTTTTTACAGATGGAGAAAGAGACTTTGACAGGTTAAGTAACTTGCTCTTGGACCCCATAGGTAGTAAATGGCAGAGCTGGGATTTGAACCCAGTCTGTTGATTTTAAAGTTTGTGCTGTTTTCACCAGGATTCAGTTTCCTTATCGCCAAAATTGTGAACAGTATAATTTCTTAAGATCCACCCAGATCCCCCAAATTATTTAACCCCATATTGCATCAGAAGACTTTGATTCTAATTCTAGTTAGTCACTGGCTCATGCTTTGTTTCCCTATTTGTAGAAAAGAAGTTGGTTAGACATCTCTAGAGACTCATCCAACTTTGAAAATGTAAATATGATTTAGTGATTAGGATACATACACTCTACTGAAGTTTTTCAACAATAGTAAAGGGGGGAGAACTATTAGACCAAGATTTAGTAGACCTAGGTCCTGGAATCAGTTCTGCAAGTAACTTAATCTTCCTGTCACTCAATTTTATCAATAAAATGAGAGTAATCCTTATCCTATCTACCTCACAAGTTTATTGGATCAAGAATGAAAGAGAGTTTGAAAATTCTTTATCAAATGTTCTTTACCTTTTAGAGGGTTACAACCTCTGATGAAAGTAATAGACACTGTCCCCCCACTGCCCCCAAAATGCACTTATATATAAAAATTTTACCTCACTTATTTCGGGGGGAGGAGGGTGTCTCACTGACTCATTTAAGCTGTTCTGTTGATCCCCAGGTTAAGAGCTCAGCTATTGGTTCACGTTTTTAAACTTATGCCAAGTGTCACCAGAAATCTCTATAACAGAGCCATTCAATGATTAACACAAAAAAATTTTTTTTTCTAGCAAGTAGCTTGAGCTTTTCATTGTGCAGAGATTTCCAACCCTTTTTAACCATGTTGGAGGACAGGAAGATATTGGAGAGGAGGAAGATACTCATAGAATGACTGAGCCATACTGATTTTAATCTCTCCCATAGTCCAAATAGTCCATGTGGTTCCTTCTCTGTTATGGACTGAAATTGAATAAGCAGAGTCAAGTTAATTTTAAATGAGCTAATCACTTGGAGTTTGTTTTTTTTCAGGGAGGAAGATGTTGCTCTGGGATCAGAAAGAGTGGGAGAAGATGAGAAACAAATGGTGATAAAAAGCAGCAGTGAGTGTAATCCCCCGCTACAAGAACCCATTGCTTCTGCTCAATTTGGTGGTAGCGCAATGACAGAGTGCCATAAGTCTGTACCATGTGGATGGGAAAGAGTTGTGAAGCAAAGGTTATCTGGGAAAACAGCAGGAAGATACGACGTATATTTCATCAGGTGAGCATGCAAGATGGTAAAGATAGTACAGCCAAATAATTTTGTCTAGACAGGTGGTAGGAAAGCATAGCAGGAGTTTTGGCTTTTTTCTGTTTTTACCCTAAAACCATTACGGATTCTGTTCCTTCACTGTCACTGGTTACTTACATCAGGTGATTTGGGGACAAATACTTACGTTTTCTCCTACTGTGAATGGCTACTGGTAAGGTTGCATTTAAGCTATATTTGTAAAATTATGTTCTGTTTTCATAGAGGAGACTGTTTTAAAGTATCACTTTATCACTTTTTTTATTTTAAATGACAAATGCCCATGGCAAAGTTTGGAAATTATTAATAAAAAATCCGAAATGTGCTCCAGGTTTTTTTAAAAGTCGCTTTTATTAACTAGCAGTAAGTTTTCTTTAATATCATTTTCTAGCCCACAGGGCCTGAAGTTCCGATCCAAAAGGTCACTTGCTAATTATCTTCACAAAAGCGGAGAGACTTCCCTTGAGCCAGAAGACTTTGATTTTACTGTATTGCAAAAAAGGAGCATCAAGTCAGGATGTAAAGACCAAAGCATGGCAGCTCTGCCATCCCAGCTGCAAAACGAAAGTAGCAATTCAAACCGGAGCCTCCGGACACGAAGCAGGTGGAAAAAAGATGTGGTTTCTTTGCCAAGTGCTAGTTTGGAACTGCAAGATAGCAGAGAACTCTCTAACTTTACTTCCATTCATTGGCCTTTGAAAGGAGATGATGGTGTTAATGATGCTGACTCCAGAAAGGTTAGAAAGTCCAAAAGAAAGGAGACTGTTTTGAAAGGGATTCAAATTAAGAAAACTAAAACAGGGTGCCGGAGGAGTCTTCCAGATCCTGTTCAAAGTAATAGAAAAAGAGCATCTGTGTATAATAAGGCAGCAGATGCTGAAAGTGAGGCTCTTGCACAAGAAAGTCAGCTTGAGAGAACTTGCTGTGTCTCTGATACCAGAGCGAGCGACAAGACCCTCACTGTGACCGGTGAAGAGGAGAGGCTTGGTAAAGAGAAATCGTTGTGTTCAGGATCAGATTTTGAACAGACCGCTTCTGGCATCATAAACAAATTACGTTCAAGCAAAGAAGCAGGACCCAACGAGAAGTGTGAGGGTACCTTTTTAGAATCTGAGGAAATAACCAAAGTAGAAGCTGGGGAAAGGAAGGAGCCTTTGCATATTGGCATCTCAAAAGGTGGCTCTGAAATGCACAACAGCTCACAAACGGAGAAAGACTCTACCTCTGCAAAAATATTGCAAGGTATTCAGTGCACTAAAGTGCTGTTAAACATGTGATGAGGATTTTGCACTTCATGCCTGTACCCAGTTAGCATGTGGGAAGAGCATGAAGGAGTAGGGCCAAATATCAGACACATTCTACCAGGTGGCCCTAGTGCCTTGTGTAACTGATATTTGAGCCCTTTTGTATGGCAAAGAATCAGCTGGCTACTGCCCCCAACAGAGGACAATTGTGCCATTAACCGTTGTTGCCATCCTGGTACGACACCTGGGACTCTCCTCAACAGTGCTCTCCCTTCTTCCCTTTTTTCCAGCCAATAATCTTACAACTTTAGGGGCAATAAAAAGGTTTCACTTGTGAAAGGATTTGGGGGAGACTCCTTTTATACATAAACTGGTTGAGAATAGTCAGTATCTTCTCTTTGCACCCCTCCTGTTATTTATTACCGATGTGTGACTTCCACTTTAATTTTGTGTATATCATAGTCATTTTTATCTTCTGTTGTAATGCTTCTCTAAAATGCTTTAGAGCTCTAAGCAATTCAAAACTAATCACATAGTTCATCTATTATTTGTAATATGCTCTTAATACAGAGTTCAGAGCTTAGCAGTTTTGCCTTTATAATACCTCAGTGAATAAGAGATAAAAGAATGGAGACCTTTGAGCAACCCTGTATTAGTTATTCATTATGCCATTGTGGTATAATGAATAACTCCTTTAAATAAGAATAGTAATTTTACTTAAAGTCCTATGGGGAGACAGCATGGACAGATTAGTAGAGCAGGTGGTTAGAGTTGGTTCCTGCTCTTGGTCCCACTCATGATTTTATTATGTCTTTGCTGTGCCTGGAACTTCTCTACCTTGAACAGAAGATGACCACGTACACCTAGGAGCTGCATAAAAATTCTCCAATGTGTCCTTTAAAGACCTTGAACTTCCTAAAGCCTTGAGGTTTATGTAGATTTGTTGCTAGTAAAATGGACAAATAAAATATCAGAAACATCCTTTTGTGACAAAAATGGAAGTATCCTAGTCATCCTATGCATAAAGAAGTCTAGTTCTCAACATAAGTACGTTTACTGTAGGTAATAGGTATCCAATGGAGTGGTAAAGACTTTCCCAGTGCCTTAGTTAGAAATTGCCACGTAAATTGATCTTAGTCTCCTAGTAATAAAGGAGGCTAGTCAGTAATTATCTATAAGAACCCACAGAAGAAATGATCAGGTAGGTAGTAAGAGCAGTTTCCTTTGTTCTGACTTTTTTACTTTCCACTGGGCTTTGCCTATTCAAACTAGAATAGCAAAAAACACTAGACTGATTATCTGGAAACATGGATACTTGTCTCAATCTATAGTCAATCCCACTATTGTTTTCAGATAGTTGCTTAATTTCTAAGCCTTAGAGTCTTCATCTGTAAAACACAGGTAATAACCCTCACCAGTCCTGTTTTTCACATCATGAATATTGTAAAATGAGAAGTGAAAAAGGTGGCTTCACGCTAGACAGATGCAAGGTATTATTAACTGACATTCAAATTTAGAGGGTATGGCTATGGGGAGTATTAAATGTGATGATTTTAGAAACTTGAAAGCCTGATAATGGTGGTCAAAGAGTCTTTGTTAAATTAAACTTCCCAGTAGATAGTGGCCTTAGGTGTTCTAAGGTCCAAATCTTAGGCTTTCCTGCAGGTTCTGTTTTATCTGTATCCTTTTTTTTTGTTTGTTTTTTGTTTTTTTAAGTAAAAGTATTCACTGCAGAATATTTGGAAAATATAGAAAATTAAAAGAAGAGAAAAACTAGCACCAACCATTATGCCATTTTGGTTTATTCTAATCTCTATCACGTTTTTTTCTTTTTTTGTTAAATTGGGATCATATGTTGAATATTGCTTTTATCACTTAAAAATTAATGACATGGGAAAAATTCATGATGTAGTCTCAAAATATTTTAATAACCACATTGTACAAGTGTCATACTTTAAAATATTCTATATTATTTCCAATTTTTCAATGTAGTGAACTCTGAACAAAAATCATAGAGAACTAGTATAGTAGTGGTTAAAGGCAGGGACTCAGGAGCCAGGCTTCCTGGATTAGAATTTCAGCTCTTGACATTTACTAGCTGTGGGGCCTTCGGCAAGTTACCTAGCATCTCTGTACCTCAATTTCCTTATTTGTAAAGTGGAGACAAAATAGTACCTACCTTGCTCATAGGTCATTAGTAGGATTAAACTGGTTAATTTTTGTGAAGTGCTTAGAATAGTGCTAAACTGAACGTTTTATAGTAGTAGTGTGTTGTTGTTATTTGCAGCCCTGAATATTTTTTTAGGCTAAACCATAGATTCTGTAAACAATGTTCCCTCTTTCCTTTTCAGAAGACGCCATCCCACAGACACAAATAGGAAAAAGGAGAACAAGCCTGTATTTTTCCAGGAAATATAACAAAGAAGGTATCCCTTTTCCAATCAGAAAGCCAGACTTTAAACCTATTTCAAGTGTTCCCCTCTAATACAGTGTGTTTGTTTAGTTCTTAGTCCCCCACGACGCAAGGCCTTTAAGAAGTGGACACCTCCTCGGTCACCTTTTAATCTTGTCCAAGAAACACTTTTCCATGATCCGTGGAAGCTCCTCATTGCGACTATATTCCTCAACCGGACCTCAGGTTTGTGGATTCTTTTAATCTTTGACTTCGTAGAGACAGTGTGATGAGGAGAATTGATCAGGAAACGTGGTCTCAAGTTTGATTTTGACCTCAGGTAAGGCCTTCTTCTTTCAGTCCGTCCTCAAACTCCTCACCTATAGACTAGATGGCATCCAACAGCCTTTTTAGCATTAAAGAGCAGATTTTCATTTATGTACTGCTTCCAAATTACTTTTAGTCATCAATGAAAATCCGTTACTTAACCTTCCTCCTCTCTGTGTCATGTATAAAAGCATTTCTTTTTCATTGGTTGCTTTCTTTAATGTCGCTGGCACCTTATGTTCTGTATGCTTTTACACTAGTTATATGATGATCTGATTATCTAAAAACCAATATCATACAAGGCCAGGTTTTGGCATAATTTGGACTGTTAACCAAATTGGTTGATGGTGTTGGGTTTTGACTCTGAGAGTGGTTGCTGATTTAGGTAATGTCTTCTCATCAGTGGTTTAAAAAGAAAGAAAGAAAAAAACTCTCCATATGAGATTTCTAGACAAAGAAGTGCATGAGCCTAAACTCAGCCCATCAGGAGGCTTGTAGTCACGTAGCTACTTTTGCTTCCCAGGCAAAATGGCAATCCCTGTGCTTTGGCAGTTTCTGGAGAAGTATCCTTCAGCGGAGGCAGCGAGAACCGCAGACTGGAGAGATGTTTCAGAACTTCTTAAACCCCTTGGTCTCTACGATCTTCGAGCAAAAACCATTATCAAGTTCTCAGGTACTTTCCCATATACCCAAAGGGAAAAACATAAATTGTGCCTGTTTAAGAGCGCCACACCTTACACTTTAATGTCCTCAGTTGCGACATTAATAGAGGTCATTCAGCTCAAGCACTGAAGGTGTTTGAACACAGTTCGTTTGCCCCAAAGTGCAGAGTCTCCCGCTGACCCAGGTGATAAATCTTTGCCCAGCACCAGGTCGGGCCGTGTGGGCAGGATTAGAGGAAGAAGTTAGTGAAGCAGAAAGTCCGGTTGACCTCAGGGACATTACCCCTGTCTCGTTAGGTCAGCACAAAACAATTAACGGGTAGTCAGTGGCAGACAAGCAGGTCAAACGGGGGTGGTGGCTGCAGGAATTCAGAAGAAAGCAGCCACAAGTCAGGCTGTTGGGAGAGATTCTTTCCCGTCCCTTTCTGTTGTTTCTCCTTTTCAGGGAAAGTATTTTCCTAGAGGCTGACCTGATATGTGGGGTGTTGTATTCTCAGATGAATATCTGACAAAGCAGTGGAGGTATCCGATTGAGCTTCATGGGATTGGCAAATATGGCAACGACTCTTACCGAATTTTTTGTGTCAATGAGTGGAAGCAGGTAAGGCCCGTCTCCGGCACATTTTGTCTCTGAGGCAAAGTAAGTCCACCGTTATGGTTAGAACTATTTCTTGGACACACGTGCCATTACAGTCCCAACCAGCTTTGTTCCAAGCTTGAGGGGCAGTGGTAGCTTGCGGTTATTGACAGCAGGAGAGGGTCCATAGATTTCCCCAAGTCCACAAAGACTCCCTGGTCTCTGACTGACCTCCACTGGTTTGCCACTTCTAGCCCTGTTCCTGTCATTTCCATTCACGTACTGTCTCTAGGCCTAATGTGGTTTTCCTCCTGTCACAGTCATACTCGCCTTCAAAAGCACACCACTGAAGGGAAGCAGGCAGGTTGCAGGATTGGAGTGCATGCTTGTCGGGTTTCTTCTAGTGGTCTCAGACTATTTTTGTGGTACGTGGGTTCTACTTCGGCTGCCCATTCTATGGAGTATGCCCAGCCCACGGGCATCTGGGTGGCATCCCGGCAGTTGATAGGCACTGCCACATAGCCTTACGCTGCCCTCTTAGTCTGTGACTTGCCCTAAAGCATTTAGCTGGGAGGTCTGGCCAAGCCCATCCCTGCTTCACCATTTATTGTGACCTGAGCAGTCCATTTAACTCTCAGGGTCTGTAAGCTCCTGGAAAATGGCATATTAATACTTGACTCATGTTATCACCACCGTCCACACTGAGTCCCAGTGAACATCAGTACCAAATTGGAAAGTACTTTGTAAACTGTAAAGGATTGCTTTGATGTAAGCTATAATTTTAACCATTCATGAAACTCATTAGGGTAAAAGTTAATCATTTTCAGGTGTATTGTCATAAGGTGCTGTTACCCCACCATATCTTTAAAAAGCCAATTTAAAAAATGTATTTCTGACTAACTTGCATTAGGCCTCTGTCTCCTAATGTGTTGTATTTCTTCCAGGTACACCCTGAAGACCACAAGTTAAATAAATATCATGACTGGCTTTGGGAAAATCACGAAAAATTAAGTCTATCTTAAAACTCTTTTGACGTTTTCAAGCTTGTTTTTATGCATTGCTTTGCACTTTGATTTTTAAAAGCTCCACTAAGCACAACCGCCTTTCCAGGTGTATAGATTCTAATCAGCCCAACTAGAAACCTAACGTGTGTCTTCTTAATGTGTGTACCACCGGGAGATCTTTGCTCCTGAATGTGCTACGACATGTTTTGAGATTTTTTTAAAAAATAAATTGTTATTTGACAACAATCCTAAAAATGTATATGACTTTTCCAGTAATGAAATGTGATTTGAAGTTTAAAAAACTTCCCTCAGTTATTAATAATATGAAGCAAATGTCTATCAACCTTGCCTGAGGGAAGATTAGACCTTCTGTTGTCCTTCTGTAGAAAATGATATCACACAATTGTTACATGAAGAAGCAAAGAGTTTTCAGCCACACATGTCAGAAAAGATATGATAGGGTGAATCAGGCAGTTAATTAATAAAGTATTTTTATTAAAAAACACTAACCTCCAAAGAAAAATAAGATTATTTTGTCATTCTGTGTCCTTGATGACTGTCTGCTGGCTTTTAGGAATTGGAGATTTGACCATTTGATAACCTAATGTGCATACCTGCCTGTAGTTCTGTTGCAGAGTGTTGGCTTCTGGCTCACGCATTTACCTTAATCCCTCTGTGAAAACGAGCATTTACCCATCTCCCATCTTCCAGCTGGAGGACAGGACCTTTTAAGTTTTATGCCTTTTATTTTTATTTATTTATTTATTTTTTTGCAGTACGTGGGCCTCTCACTGGTGTGGCCTCTCCCGTTGCGGAGCACAGGCTCCGGACGCGCAGGCTCAGCGGCCATGGCTCACGGGCCCAGCCGCTCCGCGGCATGTGGGATCTTCCCGGACCGGGGCACGAACCCGTGTCCCCTGCATCGGCAGGCGGACTGTCAACCACTGCGCCACCAGGGAAGCCCTTATGCCATTTTTAAAACAGGTATTATAATGATATAGCTCAAATACTGAAACATTTACTTTAGAAGGAACTCACAAAACAAACAAAAATCTAAGTTATTAAAATCTCGATTATCCATTGTCATTTTAAGGCATAATTTGGAAATTGATCGAATAAATGAAAAACAAATTGTTAGGGAAACTACCTCTGATGTAGGGTAGAGTGTGAACAGAACCAGGGTACAGTGTGCTGCAGAGCTAGTTGGTTGTTTCCACTATAGTGAGTGAGATTTCATTTTTTAGAGAAGGATGGATTTTTGACCATCCTTCAAAATCCAGGAACAGGAAAACTGACCACACACGTACACTTCCAAGGCAAACATCACTTCATGACCTCCCATCACGTTTTTATTTAACAGATATCAGAGTAGCATTCACTAAGTGCAAAGCTCTGTGCCAGGGAGGGGCACAAAGATGAAAAGGCTCTGTAGAGACCCTCATGGGAGAGAGAAGGGACAGGCAATAATGAAAGGTAACAAAAGGGGTAAGGTGTGGGGACAGGGTGCCCAACACTGCAGCGAAGAGTCCAGAGGGGCCCCTGCAACCCTGGCCGTACCTGGGGTCAGAGGGTAGGGCAGGCAGCAAGCTTGGGGCCTCAGGTGTGGTGTGGCGGTGGGACCTGCTGTCCAGTCCCGGCCCAGCATCTCCATCAAGACTATGGGCCTGGGGGTGCAGCAGGGGAGCTGTGCAGCAGCCTGGCCAGGCTTTTCCCCTTTCCTGCAGCTGAGGTTGCCTGGCCTCTGTATCTGTTTCCTCATCTGTTGAGAATGGATCAGTGATGCCTACCTCACACAATTATGATTATTAATGTATGAAATTGCTTAAATGGAGCCTGGCTTACAGAAGTGCTACATTAATGAGGCCCATAGGGATGGTCTGAGTGACGACCTCAGGTTGTTGAGAGGGTCACAAAAATAATGCATTTCAGTAAGGATGGTACCTTATGCAGAGTAAGCACACAAGTGTTTGGGTCTTTTCTAACTTCTTTATTTGAGACAAAATCCACATAACATAAAATTGATTTAACCATTTTTTAAAGTGTACAATTCAATGGTTTTTAGCACATTCACAGTGTTGTGCAACCATCATCACTAACTCCAAGATATTTCCATCACCCCAACAAGAAACCCCTTGCCTATTAGCAGTCAAACCCAACGATCCCTCCCTCCCCCAGCCTCTGGCAACCACTCGTCTGCTTTGTGTGTCTATAGACTTGCCAGTTCTGGGCATTTCTTACAAATGGAATCATATAATCTGTGGCCTTTTGTGTCTGGCTTCTTTCACTCAGCGTATTTTGAAGGTTCGTACGTGTTGCAGTATTACCGACCCAGGTTCTTAGACTCTTTAATCAACAGAAATTGATAAGAGGCCAGATGAGAAATTCAGGCAAGGCTTTATTGGAACTAGTGCTGCAGCAGGAGGGAGTGAAAACCAATAAGTTCCCTTGCTCGCTTCTTGGGTGGAGGGGGGTGAGCAGTCCCTTAAATGGGGCAAGGGTAGAGGCTGACCCATGGGCTGGAGGGGGGGCTTAGGTGGTCTGCCCACCCGCCTTGTGGTGCTGTGTGCAGAGGGCCTGCGCAGTACCCTGCTTTTGCTCCCCACACCTCAGAAGCAGCCGTTGGGTTTTGGTCTTTTTGTATCATGTTGTTCATAATTGGCCACAACTGCACATACGTGCAGTTATTTTTCATCCCTTATATAGTTTCTTACTCGAGGAGACACTTGTCCAGGTGTAAGCACTGCAGCAAAGGGTCCCAGGTCCCAGCCTGTCTCAGCAGCATGTGTCAATACCTCATTCCTTTTTATGACTAAATAATATAACGTCGTTTGGATAGACCACCTTTTGTCTATCCATTCATCAATGGACATTTCAAATATTATTAATACTCCAGTTCTCAGGTTCTATAATTCCAAACCATGGCACCCTGTCTTTCAGGGACAAAGCATACCAAAAACACTGCCTCTATTTGGCCACGACTCTCTCGGGTTCCCTCTGGAGGAGGGAGCACCTGTCCTTTGGGTGAGAACACAGCCCTAAACATGTAGAGACCTGCTGAAGACCCTACGGCTTACAGGAAAACCTGGGATTTATTACTCCAGATTCAAGGGCCACTGGGCCAACCTAAGAAATCCTGTCTTTTGCGGAGCCGGATGCTCTGCACCATTTCCTCGCGGCTTCCTCCAAGTCCCCTCCCAGGACCCTCGAAGGGAGCGAGACTGTCGGGGTCTCCCGCTCGGGCGGATCCTCTCCCCGCGGGCCTCCGGCCACGTGGCGGCACCCAGCCAATCAGCGCGGGGCGTCCGTAGTCTCGGCAACAGTTGCGTCCAAGCTCTGCAAGTCACGGGTCTCTTGCAAACTTGGTATTACTGTTTTTCTGGTACCCCATACCCCCGCGCAAGCAAGCACACACAGACACAAACACACACACACACACACACGCACATTCACACACTCTTTTCAGCACCCGCTTCCGGCGCCGCGACCATGGACTATTATTCTGAAGAGTACGAAGCTGTGTTCCGGTCTCTGCTCCGTAAGTTCACCCTAAGCTCCCGGGAATCAACGCCAGCTCCAGGAAGCCCTCAACCCCCGGGTGGACGGGTGCAAGTGGGGTGAGGACTACGACAGGGACGGATATCTCATTGTGTCGTCGTCCCTCTGGGTGCGGGGTTGCCAGGGAGTCGGGGGCAGGTCGTGCATGTTTCTCAGATTTCCTTGCCCGGGCTGGAGGAGCAGGCCGAGTTGCTTAGGCTTGGAGCCAGCGGCCCCACCCATGGGCCCGGGAAAGGTGTCCAGGCCCTCTGGCTGGCCCTACTTTGCTAGACATTAGTGCGTTCGGTACGGGAGAAAAGGCATGGAGAAAACCAGCAGTCTTCAAAATTCTGGTGATAGCCTGCTGTCTTTGACAAGCGCTGCAACTTCAGAGGTGAAAGCCAGATAAATGGATACTTACAGAAGAAGGGTCCAGGGGTGACACCCAGGAGTAAGAGGTCTGCTAAGTGCAGAGGATGGGGAGGAATGATTCCAAGGTCCTGGAGAGCTCTTTACACTGGAGCTTCAATTAAGGATACAAGGAGTTATCCAAGCCAAAAGGGAGAGGAAAGGTATTCCAGACCAAGGGAACGGCATGCACAGAGGCCCAGAGACATGGGGTCTTCAGAAAACTGCTGGTAGTTTGAGTGTTGCTGGAGATGAGAGGCAAGAGGGGTCAGAAGGGACAGGATCAGGAGAGATCTTGTGAGCCAGGAGATGGGGAAGCCACTGAGAATGACAGGACTGGATTGGGAGCGTCAGCAAATGCAGAGTCTGAATTGGCAGACTCCCCATGTTGGGAGTGGGGCGATCTGGGACTGTCCCAGATTCCCAGGCCAAAGACACAGGGAGGTGAGGGAAAGGTGCCAGGCTAGAGGGGGCTGATTGGATGGGGAACTTGGAAAGAGTTCAGTCTTGGTTGAGTTGGAGATCCTTGTAGGCGGTACAAGTTGAGATGCTTTAGGAGCAACTGTACGTAGAAAGTTGGAGCTAATTCCAAGTCATAAATATGGGTATGGGTGGCCTCTGCATGTGGAGGGCCACAGAAATGAGAGTGGAAGAGAGTGTTTGGGGGGGCAAAAAAGAGCCCACGTGTGAGCCTGGAGGCCGTCTGCATTTTAGGAGTGGGTAGGAAAAGAGAGGCCAAGAACAAGTGGCCAGAGAGGTAGGATGGAACTTAGGGAGAGATTTGTAACAGAAGCCAAGAGAAAAGGAGAGAATTTCAAGGAAGAATTGAATTGTCTCCAGACACCTGAAGGGCTGTCTCAGAAAAGAGGGAACAAATGTGTTTTCTGGGGCATCAGTGGGAGAGGACTAGGACCAAGGGTCGTAGAAATTCCAGGGAAACAAATTCTGGGTCAATATAAAGAAGTCTTTTCTAGCGGTTAGAATTAGGCACTCACAATGTTAAGTGGAGAACACCCTGTCACTGGAGGTATACAGACAGGCAAAGGCCACAGGGGCGTTGTAGAAAGAGTCCCCTGACCTGGGCAGGCAAGGGGACTAGCTGGCCGCTGAGAGCGTGCCTCATTAATCCCTGGGGAACATTTTCACACAGGCTCTACCCACAACCACATGGTGACCTCTTTTATTCGAAGAGCCCGCCTCACTTTTCTATCAGCGGACAGAGGACCCCAAAGATTACTAGAATGCAAGCTTGGTGGGCCTGCAGCCTTCACTCTGGAAGAGAAGGAGCGTGGGGGGAGGTCAGGGAGGAAACAGGAGCTGAGTCCCAGCAAGGTAGCTTTGCAGGCCATTGTGAAAGAGCGTTGTTTACTCTTAAGAGCAGGAGAAGCCATTTCAGTGAAGCCATTGCAGGGTTTCAGAGGGGGAAGGGATGCCTCTGGCTAAAGGCAGATCATGGATTTGGGGTCTAGGGGGGGCACAAGTGGAAGAGGCGAGACCAGTGAGGAGCATGTTTTGAATGCGTTCCCACGGTCTGCAGAGTACAGTTTAAACCCCTGAAGCTGGCGCTGGAGATCACTCCAACTGTATTTTCTTCCATTAACCTCCTCCTTCACACACAATGTGCTTCCAATTTGTGAAACAGTTTAGTAACCCTCAAGTCCCTAAACCCCACCCTGATCGATCCCCATGCTGGCCCCTCTATCCCTTGAAACCCAACTCATTCTGAAAGCACACTCAACGTCCCCTGCTGCACGATGACCTCCCAGATCCCTTGGTCAGCGTCTCTCCCCTGACTGAAACCACCTTGTAACCCCTCTGGTTACCCCACCTTGTTCTGTGCCAGCACACTGCCTGTTGGGCACCCAGCCAGTACCAAGCACTGGGTAACTTTCAGTAAATGCTGGTTTGATGAATGACTAAATTTTCATTCGTACCAAACATCTTGTCCTCAAAGAAATGATAAATGGGTTGTTGAGAAGTACTTACTTCTGTCCACATTGATGTATACATACTTTATTTTCTGACTCTGAAAGGAATACATGGGCATTGTAAAAGGACTTAACAAATGTACTGACTGTTCACTTTGTGCCAGGCTGGGTGCCGGGGATGCACAGGAAGTAAGACACAGTTCTCGCCATTGGGAAACTCACAGGCTGTTGGGAAAGAGAAGTATCTTCATCCAGAAAAATATGGTAAATGCTATGAGGGGGCTAAGCATAGGGGCTATGGGGACCAAGAGGGGGACGAGGGAGAACCTGGGGTGCTTCAGGCGACAGTAATGCCTGAGCTGAGCCTCAAAGGCTAAGTAGGGAATAATCAAGTGAACAGGGGAGAGACAGAAGCGTGTTTCAAAGACAGGAAAGAGCACGGTTTGGGGGGGCAGGAAGGGGAACTACGGAACCACAGTCAGCTTAGTTTGGGTACAAATACAAGGTGAGGCAGAAGGAATGAGAGAAGGAGCTGTAGAAATTAGAGGGGTTGGCAGGGGTGGGTGGGACAGGTGGGGCTAAGTTAAGGAGATTGAACTTTATTCTAGAGGCAGCTGGGAGCAATAGAAGGGTTTTAGGCAGGAGAGTTTGGGTTTTAGAAGGAAAATGATGTTGACAATATTTTGAATAATCATGCTGTATCCCTTTTGAATTTTAGAACATTCCCACACCTGTTATTCATTTGATCTTCATAATAGCTTCGGGAGGTTGCGAGAGGAGAGTTTGTATCATTTTAGGCATAAAAGAATTGAGACGCAGCAGGATTAGGTGACAGCCTGGGGTAATATCAAGTAATGGCTAAGAGGTGAGCCCTGAGGCCAGACAAACCAAATTCATGTCCCAGCTCTGCTACTAAGCAACTGTGTGACCTTGGGCCTCCCTGGGCCTCGGTGTCCCTATCTGTAAAAATGGGTGTAAATCATGATGCCAACCTGTTAGGTCTGTCCACTTGTCATTCACTCACTCACCAAATATCTACTGAGCTCCCACTATATGTTGGCACCGTGGAGGTGCTGGGACTCCAGCAGGGAACAAGAGAGATGAGATCTCGGTTCACAGTGTATTGGAAAAAAATAAACCAAATAATTGCGCCAGGGGTTTCAAATACAACTGTCTGCCTGAACCAAGCCCTTACTGAATGAAATGAGCTGCGTGTGAGACGATAGGGAATGGTGAGGCCTATGGCAAGCTGCAGAGCGCATGCCCCAGCCTATCGCAGTGCAAACTGGAAAAGTTTAAGCAAACAAGTATGTTAAGCAAAACAGGACCCTAGGCCCCATTCAGTATGAGGGCTGCCAGTTTGCAACCCTTGATTTACATACTTATGATAAGTGGTCCGAAGGAAAAGTACAGAGATAACATGAGGATATAACACAGCCTGAAGCTGGAGAGTGAACGTTTGGTCTGACACGTGGAGAATGAGGAGGAGCGAGGAGGCGATGGATGGGGGAGGGAGCATTCCTGGCAGGGGGAGCAGCGTGTGGAACCCTTAGGCAGGATGGGGTTTGGATCATTCAGGGAACAGAGAGAACGCCAAGACATCTGGACAGGGTAAGGAAAGACAGGCAAGTGATGAGGCAGGAAAGGTTGGCGGAGGAGGGTCATGGGACTTTATTTTGAGGACTATGAAAAGTCATGGAAGTATTTCAAAATGGGAGGGTAAGTATATAAAAAAATAATAATAACAGTGCACTTATTATGAACAAACTGGACTGATTCTAAACATCTCCACCACTCAATAAGGTAGGTACCATCATTATCCCCATTTTACAGATGAAAAAATTGAGACCCTGCAAGGATAAGTGATCATGGCCCCAGTAAGCGGCAGGGCCGGAACTCAGACCGGAGCGTTCTGGCTGCAAAGCCTCTGCACTTTAAGGCACTAGGCTGCCTCAGTTGATCTGACCAGATCAGAATGGCATTTTAAAAAGATCATTCTGATTGCCAAGGAGTACTGGGGGCAGGGGGCTGAAGTACTGGGGGCAGGGGTGGGGGGGGTGGGGGGGAGTAAGATTAGAATCTAAAAAGTTTATGAGAAAGCACATAAATCTCTTAGCATAGTGCCTGCCGTTGGGATTGCCCAGTCACATTAGATGTAATTATTTTCATCATCATAGCAAGTCAACAATAACGCCAGGCCTGGAACCCAGGTGCCCTGATGCCCAGCCTGGTGCTGAAGCATTTCTCCTTCCTGACTCCTTTGGTCCTCTTCGTGAAAGGAACTCACCTTTTAACCCTCTTCCAGGGTTCTACCAGTCTAAGTCCTTGGTTGACGATGGAAGTGCCAGCAAGGAGCTCGTGTTCAACCCTGAAGCGGTCATCGCCCACTGCTTCAAGCAGTTCAAGCAGGAGGATTTCCACCTGCCTCACAGCCGCCGGAGGATCATCTTCTTGCCTCGAAACGAGGCTCTGATGCCCATCAATCCCACCCCCAACCCCCAGGCTCCCCGCAAGCCCACCCCCAGCTCCAAAGCCCTGGAAGTTGGGGACATCCAAGAACAGCCAGAGGACCCAAGGGCCTGGCTGACCCAGAGGCTGAGGGTTCGGCAGGACCTGGAGTCATTTGGCAGCATAGAGAGGTGGCTGCGGAACAAGTCCAGACTCACGCCTTCGGAGGCCAAGGTCCTACACGAGAGCCACAAGGAGCACAAGGCCCGGCTGACGGGCCAGCTGGCCACTCCCAGACACACCGAGGTGAGCAGCCCCATTTGCCAGATGCAGACACTTTGGGTGTTAGGGGCATGCTGTCATTTCACTCCCTTGAATTAGGCAGGATGGGGATCTTTTACCCTCACCCCCACCCACCATCCCCCTCCCAGTCCCAGGGGAGCAAAGAGAAGTCCTGAAAAGGTGTATTTGTTATCTGTTGCTGCATAACAAATACCCCCAAGGTGACTTAAAGCAACAGATGTTCATTATGTCACTGCTTCTGAGAATGAGGAAGCTGGGAGGAGCTTAGCTGGATGGCACTGGCTCAAGCTCTCATCTCAAGATGCTGGCCTGGGCCACAGACACCTGAAGGCTTGACTGGGCAGGATGACCCGCTTCCAAGCTGGCTGCTGGCAGGAGGCCTCAGTTCCTGGCCACATGGGCCTCTTCCAGGGCTGCTCAAGTATCCTAACCACATGGCAGCCAGCTTCCCCCAGAGCAAACAGTCCAAGAGAGCAAGGAGGAGGCTGCAATGCCTTTTTTTTTTTTTTTTTTTTGTGGTACGTGGGCCTCTCACTGCTGTGGCCTCTCCCATTGTGGAGCACAGGCTCCGGACGCGCAGGCTCAGCAGCCGTGGCTCACGGGCCTAGCCGCTCCGCGGCATGTGGGATCTTCCCAGACCGGGGCACGAACCCGTGTCCCCTGCATCGGCAGGCGGACTCTCAACCACTGCGCCACCAGGGAAGCCCCTGCAATGCCTTTTATAACCTCATCTCAGGAGGTCTCAGTTTCAGAAGTTTCACACCATCACTTCCACCACGGTCTGTTTGTTAGGAGCAAGTCACTAAATACTGCCCACATTTGAGGGGAAGGGGGTTGAGCTCCACCTTAGAAGGGAGGAAGGTTGAAGAATTTGTGACTATATCTTAAAACCACCCTGGGAGGAATCATCCCTGGCATTCATCTGTGGGGCATTTTAAATACTCACTGTTCATTCATTGGTTTATTCATTTGTTGAGGGACTATATGTGCCAGCAGGTGCTCACAGGGCTACTGTGAGGATCACAGCTGGGAGGTTGGGAGAAAATTTTTTATAAATTTGTATATGTATTTGTATATATTATACATATAAGTCCCTTTTATAAATATGAAAATAGAAGCTCAGTGAGGCCATACATTGTCCAAGCCCACAGGGTTAGTAAATGGCGGTCAGTAACCAAAGCCGTCATCTTCCAGCTCTTTGCAATACAGAAACTGTATGGGACATTTCCTTACAATACAGACACTTGAAATTTCTCCCAGTTCAGGTAAAGCTGGTTTAAGAGGTCAGGTAACTTGGGTTTAAACCCAGCTCTAGGTCTTCCCTGGTGGCGCAGTGGTTGAGAGTCCGCCTGCCGATGCAGGGGACACGGGTTCGTGCCCCGGTCCAGGAAGATCCCACATGCCGTGGAGCGGCTGTGCCCGTGAGCCATGGCCGCTGAGCCTGCGTGTCCGGAGCCTGTGCTCCGCAACGGGAGAGGCCACAACAGTGAGAGGCCCGCGTACCGCAAAAAAATAAAATAATAAAATAAAAATAAAAATAAATAAACCCAGCTCTGCTCCTTCCTAGCTGTATGATCTGGGCCTCAGTTTCCTCAACTCTTCAGTGGGGATAACCATTGTGCCTGCTTCCTAGGGCCACTGTGACATCTAAATGGACTCATTTATATATGGTGCCTGAGACAGTGCTGAGCGTATCGTGAGCACTCAATAAATGTTTGTCATTTTTATTATTATTGCAGACTTACTGATGTCATCTGGGTTGGCCCCCAAACTTCAGAGTCAGTCCTTGGTGTAATCATAGTCAAAAGCCAACTTTCATGGGTCCAGCACACGCTTTCCTGCCAGCAGCACAGCATCTAGGTATAAGCACAGGTCTCGGGTTAGAAACCCAGCTCCACCGCTTACCTGCTGTGTGAGCCTGGGGAAGTCACTTCACCTCTCAGCCTGTTTCTTCATTTGTAAAAAAAAGGGAAACTAATACCTAATACCGAATTCACAGCATTGTTTTCTTCATTCAGCAAACCATCACTGCCTACATGCAGAGGGCTGGGGGCTTTGTTGAGTACAAGGATAGGAGGAGGGGTATGTAGCTAAATAAGACATGGTCGTGCTCTCAAGGTGTTCCCATGCTAGCGGCAGAGGTGGACAGAGCAGATTAAGGACTTTACAGTTTGCCACAGACCATGAATAGACTCTAATACCCTGAGGAGCTATAAGCTAGGTAACAGCAAGGCCCTTTGTAAACTGTCAAGTGCTGCACCGAAGTACAGGAACATTATTCCTAAGTACAGTCTCCCTTGGCATCTGTCGGGGGGACCCCACAGATACCAACATCTGAAGATGCCCAAGTCCGTTATATAAAAGGGCAGAGTATTTGTATATAATCCCCAAGCATCCTTCCGTATAAGGAGGATAAATCATATCTAGATTACTTAGAATACCTAATATAATGTAAATGCCATATAAATACAATGTAAATTTTATGTAAATAGTTGACAGCCAACAGCCATGACAAATTCAAGTTTTGCTTTTTGGAACTTTCTGGAATTTTGGGGGGGAATATTTTCTATCTGTGGTTGGTTAAATCTGTGGACCCAGAGGGCTAACTGCATTCCCGTTCACCTGGAAATGGAGGAGTAGGATTTGGATAGGAAGAGAAAGAAGGAGAGGTGTTCCAGGCAGGAGGCCCAGAAGGGGCAGAGGCTGGGAGGTGAGGGCAGCGGCGGTAGGAAGCTCCGGGCTGGGGCATGAATATGCACCGAGAGCCCAGTGCAATTATAATACTAACTGGTCTGACAGGAGAGATGTGGATAAGAATGAAGTTTTACTTCTCATACTGTCCAAGCCTCTTGTTTCTCATGGGAAATTGGAGGCCCAGAGAAGCCAGATCCCCCAGGTGTCCCGTGGCAGGACGCACCTGCCGGAATCCAGCGCTCCTTGCCCTCCCCCTTGCTGTCTGTTCAGGGTGGCTCAGACTCTCTCTCTCCCATTTCTAACTCTGGGGATCTAGCTCCATCGGCCTGTCTCCCCCAAACTGTCCCCTCTACTCCACTCTCTTGCCTTTTTCAGAAGAAAAGCCCACGACCCCTCCACCGGCAGGTGCCCCGGCTACAACTGCCCAAACCCTCTGCCCTGTCGACCTTGTACTCTTACCTGTGCAGCCACAAGATCAAGATCCAGGAGATATTTCACAAGGTGGAGCAGGGCAAGAACCAGAGGATCTCCAGGGAGAAGTTCATCACGGCTCTCAAAGCGGTAAGTGCCTCCCCCACCCCCGAGGCTGGCCTGACTGGGGGATGGAGGGCGCCCATGCACCACCCTCGCCCCACTGCCCCCTCCCCAGATCCTGCTCCGACTGTCAGCCGTATTACTTATAAAGCCGCACTGGAATATGTGGCTTAACCTGAGGCCCCATCAGACCCCTAAAGCCACCCTGCACCGACCTGACCTTGAAAGGCCCTAGCTGAGTGGGAAGTCTGTGGAGTCAGCCCCATAACCTGCCAGCTGCTTGGGGAATCACCCCAGAACTGAGCACAGAGAGAGCTGGGCCTTCAGTCCTGCCTCTAGAACCTTCTAGAACTTCTGGAACCGTCATTGGCATATGACTCACCCGGGGTCTTGTTAAAATGCAGCTTCTCTCTCAGCTTCCATCTTGTTAAAATGCAGCTTCTTGTTAAAACGCAGTGGAAGAGCGGAGTCCTAACCACTGGACCGAACCCAGGCCAGGGCAGTGAAAGCGCGGAGTCCTAACCACTGGACCCTCAGGGAAGTCCCCCCAAGATGCTGCATTCTAACAAGCTCCCAGGGATGCCTGTGGTACAGGTCCACGGACCACACTTTCACAGGTTATTCAAAAATTCAAATTAGTTGTAAATAAATAAAAATCCAGTTCCTCAGTCACAGCAGCTACAGTTGGAGTGCTCAATAGTCACATGTGGTGAGTGGTTCCTCCACTGGATCCCTCAGACATAGAACATTCCCATCATCCCTTCTACTGGTCTAGCAGAGGTTTGCTAACTATGGCCCAGGAGTCAAATCCAGCCAGTCTCTTGTTTTCGTAAATAAAGGTTTTTTTCCTGTAAATAAAGTTTTATTGGAACACAGCTACACTCATTATTCTACATATCGTCATGGCTGCTTTCATGCTAGGAGGGCAGAGTTGAGTAGTGATGACAGAGATCACGTGGCTCCCAGAGCCTAAAATATTTACTGTCTGGCCCTTTCAAGAAAAAGTTTGCCGACTCCTGGTCTGGGTGAATTAAGCTTTTATATATTTTGAATACAAGATACCTTTTAAAAAAACCTTAGGAAGGGGAATGCTACATCTTTTATGGTCTTAAGTCATCACCAGTTTTCACACTATCATTTTATGACATGTAATTATCGAAACAACATTTCAAAGCATTTAAAACAACAACAAATAAAGGGTTGTTAATCAACGTAACCAAAAAGATAAAACATTAAATCCTTTAGCACCAGGTGAGTTCTGATCTTTAAGTAAAGCTCAGTGAATAATATCTACAGTCTAAAGAAGCTGACAAAGTTGTATTTCCTTTAAAACTTTTCTTCTTGAATATTCGATATTGCTGGCAAGCATTTTACTTCTCTGAAATTGCTCACCATCCTTAAAGGCGTAATGTGTATCAGATTTCTGATTCTATTTTACTTCAGTTCAGGGAGGCTTATGTGTCCCCCATGGAAAGGGATGACAGACGTGAAATCCTTCTTCCAGCCCAGCACAGGAAGGCTGTCATTGAGATTGGAATGCGTGGGGAGGGAGGCCAGAGGAAGAAGTAACAGACTCTGCAAAGATGATGATATGTCTGGACTGGGTTTTGAAGGAGGGATAGGAGTTTTTCAGGCAGGAAGTGGGAAATGTCTGAGTAAAGGCAGAGAGTGAGAACGTGTAGGGTGTGTTCAGGGCCCCGGGGAAGGGCTCTGAGCTGCTGGGCAGAGACCTTGGGTGTGAGCTGGGAGTGGCTGAGGATGAAACTAGACGGGGAGGTGAGGCCAGGCTGGCAAGGCCTTGGCCGTCCTGGCAGGACGTTTGGAGCCTGCCCGCCCGCCTTGGGGCCTCTCTTCTCTCCTCAGGTTGGAGTCCCTCTGAAAACCCAAGAGGTGGAGGACATCGTGATCTATCTCAGCTCTCTGGGAAAGCACAACAGCATCACCGTGGATAACCTGGCCAGCACCTACAAGCAGTGGTCTTTGGCTCAGCAGAAAAGCACCCTGGCAACTGCAACAGAGTGTACATATCCACCTCCACCCCCGTGTCTCCACTTCCGCATCCTGGGAGCCAGTGTGATAGAGGCAGCCTTGGCTCACTTGAGTGTGTTCTCCACCTCTGGCTTACTGTAGGTGGGCCAAGCCTCCCTCTGGTATTTCCAGGCCCAGAGATCAACCGCGGGGTAGATATTCTCTTGAGTGCCCAGCTACCGGGTACATTCAAAGATGAATGAGGTCCAACCCTATCCTTAAAGGAGGATTCTCAAAGGGTGGTTTTAGCCCATCAAAGCCCACCTGATAGGCTGAGAACTGACCCAAACGGCAAGTCTTTCCATTTGTATGTGGGTCCAAGGCCTTCCCACTATTAATCTACATATTATTGATAAAAAGTTAACTAGAATTCAGAAACTAGAATTAGTACATGTTTAGAGTTTACTGGAAAATCTACTTTGGTATTCTACTATCAGGGATATTAGCAGGGCTGCTGTGAACAGTTGTATAGGTTGTGCACAGCTCAAGTTCCATTTGCCAAGCTGTGTGCTTGTGAAGCCACATCTATCCAGACGAAGCACAGAGGCAAGTTAGAAATGAACCAGCCGTAGCTCTGCCTATGAATTTACAACACAGGGTACATCATGTTTTTTGTTTGTTTGTTTTTTTATTGTTAGTGGCACTATTGTAAAAAAAAATTTTTTGAACTATAGATAAAATTAAAGCCCTCCCTTGACTACTACCCACCATTCCAGAGTCCTCCTCAAATATAAACACCTCTCTCTTCTTCTAAATGAAACAAATCTTGCTTTGTCCCCACCCTCAGGTTGGCAGAAATTTAATTTCAGACACGTTTGTGAGGGTGGACGTGGGGGGACCTCCTCGCCCTCCCTGAGGTCATGTAAAAGCCCTGGGAGGGCAGCAGAGGGGTTTCCTTACAGAGGTGAAGATTTGGGCGGGGTCTCTGGAGTTCAAGGTTACACGGAGCTGGGCGCTCAGCGTCCTCACAGGTAGGTTCTTTTAGAGACGCCTCCCTTAGCGCATCCCCTCCTCAGTCTCACAGGGTAGCGAGATTTCTGACCTCCAGTCTCAACAAGCCTCCAGGCCGAGGCACCGTCACCCCAGGCACAGTCTCCATCCCTCTCAGAACCCCAGGGAACCTGAGTGCCCCCACTGTAATGAGATCCTGTACCCTTTGTGTCTGGTGCATCCTTGAGGTCTCCTCGAGTTGGGTGGGCTTTCCCACCCACACTCTTTTTGCCTTGTCATTATGCATTACCAAAGCTTATCGCAAATCCTACAGCCTCCCGCTGACCGAGGACGTCCTCCTGAGAGGTAAGGGCCTCGGGGCTGGTCCTCTGGAAGGTGCCAAGGGGGCCCACAGCCAGGGCGAGGGTGGCGTCCACCTGAGGTCTGTCCTCCAGCCGACACACATCCAAGCATGCCGCTGCTTCCTGTGGTGGGGACATCGCGGGGCCGGGCGCGGGGGGCGGGGGTGGTGGAGGGAGGAACAGCCCCACCTGGTTCGCTCTGAGGTGGGATTTTACAGCCCTGCAGGGCTGCAGGCTCCACAGGCCTGGAGGTCTGGGTTCCCCAGTCTAGAGCAGGAAGCGCCAGGACAGGAGTTCCAGGTGAGGGAGCCAGAGGTTGGGCACAAAGAAAGGATCCTGATTTCAGAGAGGGAGCCTGGCTGTGAGTGGTGACTGCTATGATGCACTGGGTGTTCCAAACCACTTGTCTAGGCCAGGCCTGTTTCTTGGTGTTTCTACCACACGGAGGGAAGAAAGCATCGGGAGACAGGTTCTGCGGAGGCCCTTTGCTCTCTGCTCAGACCACAGGCCTCCACCCTGAGATTTCCTACTGGTTCTGCCCTCTGCGTGGGGGAAGGATTGTGTTTCCACACATGCAACCCGAGCTGAACCCTCCACATCTCTGGGTGTGTGCTTCTGAGACATGGGACAGGGGAGTGTCCCCATAACCCCCTGGTGACAATGTAGCAATGCCGGCACCCCAAATTTATGAATTTATTTATTTAATGCGCAGGTCACTGTCTGTGCTTTAAAAACACGGAGTGAGCTGCACTTGAGGGCAGAGGTTTTCCCATAGGAACTCTGCAGGAAGGAGCTGTGGCCATACTGGGCATGTGGCTTTCTCAGAAAAGGGGGCCCCCAGAGAGTAGTGTGACTTACCTGAGAACAAGAGTTAACAGTCACAATTGATTGTTTCCACCTTTTCCCCCAGATGGAGGGAAAGACGTGCTAAACGTACAGGGCCTTGGGTCTTGTATTAGTTTGCTAGAACTGCCATAACAGAATACCACAGACCGGGGGCTTAAACAGCAGAAATGTATTTTCTCACAGTTCTGGAGGCTAGAAGTCCAAGATCAAGGTGCCAGCAGGGTTGGTTTCCTCTGAGGTCTCTCTCCTTGGCCTGCAGATGGCCACCTTCTGGCTGTGTCTTCACATGGTCTTTTCCGTGTACACATGCACCCCTGCTGTCTCTCTGTGTGTCCAGATTTCCTCTTCTAAGGATACCAGTCAGGTTGGATTCAGGCCCATCCTAACGGCCTCATTTTAGCTTAATCACCTCTTGAAAGGCCCTATTTCCAAATACAAATTCTGAGATTCTGGGAGTTAGGGCTTCAGTATATGAATTTGGGAGGACACAAGTCAGCCCATAACAGGTCTATACAAGGGGAAGTGGCCAAGGGCCTTCAGGAACACAGGCCAACCAGCCTAAACGGTCATTGTCTGCTGCACATGCGGCCCACCCCTTGCTTGGGCGGCCACTTGCTGCCCGCCTGGGTGGGGAGGGCAGAGACAGCAGGAGACCCCACTGCTCTGGACACCAACTTTTCACCACATCATCGTTCCTTCCTCCTCCCTTGGGGAGCCTTGTCTTCCTGGATCATTTACATCCCCTGGTCTTGGCTAGCGGTGGAGCTGCAGCTGTGTCTTCTAAAATACCAGCATGCTTGCCAGGCACCCGAAGGCTTCTGTGGGCTAGGTCTTTCCCCCGGACGTGCCCCTTGGTCTGTCCCCACCAGAGGATCGAGCCTCTGCTGATTCTCTCCACCACTGGCTTTTGCTGGCTCCTGGGTCCACACACAGGTGAGCTTCACCTGTCTGCAGGATCCCACCACCCATGGGAGCATCTGTGGATGGGCTTCCTTTTGCTTCTGATTGGTCTAGATGGAAAAGACACTGGTCCATCTCTGACCACTGTCCTGGCCACGATCTGTTGGCTGTCCTTATGATAGAGGCATGATCTGCTGTGGCCCGAGAGGCACAAACACGGGAATTTCTAGGTCTGTGTTCAAGGCTAGAGCTTGTGTTCAAGTTCTCAAACTTATGGGCTGGAACTCCAGAACATCGAGGCATTTCCCGTCTCCACTGAATATAGCTTTATTATTTTTCTCCCCCTGATTTTATAGATAATCCATGCTCACTTATATTTTTTGAAAACATAAAAATAAAACTCCCCCCAGCCTGAGTTGACCAGCAGTAATATTTTAGTGACTGCCCTTTCACAAGGACAGTCTTTCTTTACTATTTACACAAAATTATTTATGTAAATCATTTTTAAAGTCATGTGTGTGTGTGTGTGTGTGTATATATATATGTGTATATATATATATATATAT